AATTTATTTCAGTTTTTCTGATTTATTTTATCTGTTTTTGTAATTTTTTCATTAAAACTTTTGAACACAACATGTGACTAACTTTTAATGAGCTTATTCATAAATTTTATTTCTTCAAGAAAGTTTAATAATAATAATAAATAATAATATTAGTATTGCTAATAATAATAAGGCAAAATGAATTGCTATTTAAAAGTAATCAAAGCAAATAATCCAGAAAAAGATGATGATAGTAATAATATGAAATAAGAGTTTTCAAATGAATAAAATTAATCAGAATTCATTTATTATTATTAATATTAATATTGTTATAATTACTTGTTATTATTATTTCTTTTTTTGTAATTAAAAAAAATTAAAAAATTAATTTTTGTGTTTATCAAAAAATTACACTTATCTATTATCAATCAATATAAAAAACCTTTTAGAATCTTTATACAAATTATATATGCCAATAATTTAATTACTATTACGAGTAAAATTTTCAATGAATAAAAAATTTCTATTGATTAAATGATAAAGGAATTCAAATTATAAAAACTTAATACATTGCTAAATTGTGGAAAGCCAAAAAAATTAAAACTTACACTTTTTTTAAAATAATAATAAAAACATATGCTAAAAATATATGTAATGAAGCATTAATATGTAATAAATAAACAAATAATCAAAAGATATTTTCAAAAAGAATTAATAATATTAATCAAATGAGTAAAATCATTATTTAAACTAATATATTATATTAATAAAAACATATATTAGAAAAAAAATAATAATAGTTTTTAATGATAATAATAGTAACAATATTTGTCAGTAATAATTAACACCATTTTTTTTGATATTAATAAGGCAATAAAGATAATTAGTAATAATAATAATAATAACATTTGATTATAATAATAAATAATAATAATTTTTTGATAATAATAAAAATATATGTTAGAAAAAGAATGTATAAATTTATTGTAAAACATTTATTAAATTAATACACCAATCAATTCTCTCAATAATAGTAAATCAAAGTATCACATTTTGCTACTTTATTTGTTTATTGTTAGTATTAATTAATTACTCGCTGTGTTTCTGTTTGTTTATCTAAAGTATTAATTAATTGATTTTGTTTTCTATTTTTCAACAGCAACAAACAGAGATGCTAAATGTTAAATAAATAATTCAAATATTTTTACTACGAAAAGTAGAAAAAAAAATGACAAAAAATAAAAAAAGACAAAGAGATAAAGAAAAAAAAAGCAAAAATAAAAAGAAACAAATAATGAACGAATTTTATTGTTTAAAATTAATTTAAAAAATGAAAAATTTTTTTTTTCAAATGAAAAATTAATCTTTTAAGTATAATATTTGAAAATTTTAATGTGTTACGTTTTTATTTTTTCATTTGTTTAAATTTTTTTGCTTAATTGAGTATACATTCACTTAAAATTTATACATTATTTCCTACATAATTCATATCGCTTTTTTTCTTTTTTTTTTTTAAAAAAAGTTTTCTGACAACAAACATTGCAATTTATTTTGAATGAATAACTTTTAAAGTACTTAATTAACCGATTAGTTAATTAATTAATTAATTAATAATTGTTGTAAATAATTGAATAGATTTTTTAAAACTAATAATAAACTAAAAAGACGATGAGAAGAAGTGAAAATGAGAAAGCTGTTTGTTTCATTCAATTAGTTTAAGTAGAAAATTAGCACTTGCAAAAAAAAAAAAACTTTTTTTTTTTTTTTTTGCTTTGCTTCTTTTGTTTTTTGTATTTTATTTGTTGTCTTTTCTTCATTTTTCAAAATGAAATGAAACAAATAAAATTAATATTTTAAAATTAAATTTGTTTAAAAGAATATTTATAATATTTATATTTCTTTTTTCTGTTTTTCTTTACTTCTGATTGATGTTTATTAATTTTTTTTTTCTTTTTACTCTTTGTTTTTATGCGAGGGAGGAAAAAGTGAAATTTTGTAGTTTTATATTATTTTGTCTAACATTAACATGTATTTGTTAAAATTTCAACATTTTTTTTTTTTTTTTGGTTTTTTTCCTTCATTTTTTCCTACATTTTTTTTTTTTTATGCTTAAAATTCTCATTGTTCAATTTTAATTTTGTATTGAAATAAATAAAATAGAATTGAAACTAGGCCTAATTACTTTATTCGTCCAAATAATCAATCAACGTTTTAAGAAATTTGAAAAAGACATACAAATGATTTAGATTTTTTGGATAACAATTAAAAACATTCTTGCAAACATTCTTTCATTACTAAACAAATATTTTATATGTTTCAAAAAAGAAAAATTTTTTTTTTTTCATTTAATAAGTTAAATCTTTTTTTTTGTTAAACGCATATAGCTATTACTAATACATAAATTAATCAGTAATACTTAATACTTCAATCTTTACAATTAAAATTTAAATTTATTAGCAAATCTAAATTAATCATTTATTTATTTATTTGTTTTGTTTAAAACAATGAATTAATTTTAAAAAAAAAGATGAAAAAGAAAACAGAAATATTAATACATAAATTAGATATATTAATTAGATATTATCATATTAAACTTTTTATTATATGCTTTCTGATTAATAGATAAATTAAAATTGTGTTAAATTTCATTCTTTTCTTTTTGTATGTAAAATTAAATATAATTATGCTGAGTTTCATCTTTTTTTTTAATCTTTTGTTTTTGTTTTTTAAAAAATCTATTTTAAAATGTAAACATACACTGTAGCATTTATTAGTCATTTATAATATGAGCTAACTGAACTAAATAACTAAATCATCTGTTAAATTTCATTTTTCCCATTTGAAAGGTTTGCCAAAAAAAAGGGAAAAAAAAAAAATTAGCCAAACCATTTGTCATAGACAACTGTGTTTTAGTTAATTATTTTTTAATTTTTATTTTTTTTTCCGGTTATTTATTTATTCATTTCTGTTTGAAGCAATATAAATGATTGAAAAAAAAATGAATAAAATTGAATAAAAACAATTATTTTACATTATTTTTTTTTCTTTTTCAATCTTATAAAAATAAAGTTTCGTTCTTTTTCCTTTTTGTTTATTAAAAGTAGTAAAAATGTTTTATTTGAAATGAAATAAGCAGATAACTATCAATTAATTACTCAATCTGTTGTTATCATATATCTTGGTAATATCGAAATATTAATTATGGCAAATAAAATTAGATTATCAATTCTGATCATTCAATATTAAATTATTTATAATGTTTTATATGTAAGTTTCATGAAAAAATTTTACAAATAACAAATTTGTTTGAAGAAATTTTAGCAAAATTTATTAGATAATTGAAATTTTAATTCTATTTCAAACATTCATTTTTCTATAAATGAAATATTGTTTTCATTCAAAAAAATGTTAATTAATTTTAGTGTGTTTTTTTTTTCAATTTCATAAATGAATTTCAGTATTAATAGCATTAATAAATGAGTACTAGCATGTTTACAGTAAATAATATTGTTATATGTATTTAAGAATTGTCAGAGTATGTATACAATTTTAATCTTTCTAATATCTAATAATAATTTAATTTTAAATTATTATTTAGCTTAGTTGGTACAAATTTTTTGTATAGTTTTAAATTTATTAAAATAAAAAATATGCATAAAATTACTTTCAGGGAATTTTGAAAGTTTTTGAAGTACAAAAGTAACTTACACAATAGAAATCAATGAAAATTAATTATTGCAAAGTGTTACTGATAGTTAATTACTGGTTAATTTGCTAATAGCATCAAACTATTTTGAAGTCTTCCATTTCTTTCTCTCTTTCTCCTTCTCTCTCTCTCTCTTTCCTCCTCTCCTTCTTAATCGTTTTATCACTATTATTATGATTATTATTATTTATTATTATTATTATCATCGTTATCATTTTTATTATCATTATTATTATATTATTATTATTTATATTATTATTATTATTATTATTATTATTATTATTATTATTATTATTATTACCATTACTGTCATTATTACTACTGTCATTGCTATCATTATTATTATTATTGTTGTTATTATTATTACTATTATTTTTATTATTATTTTTACTATCACTACCATTATTATTATTTATTGATGGATTGTCACAAAGAGTAATAAATCATAAATAAATAATAATAACAACGGAACCTCAATAAATGCTGACAATTTCCTGTTATCATATTATCAGTGATTATTTCTGATATGCATTGGTGTTCTGAAAATTGAAGCATAAAGGAGAGATCTCATCATTTTTTACAAAACAAGAAGAAATGCATTAATTATTGTTATCAAATTGTATAGCGAATCATTATAATCATTTTCATGATAACAATGTATAACAATGACTTATTGTGATAAGAAATATCAATGATAAATAATGTTGAATGTGAAATAATCATTATCAATGAATGAAAATTAATGTGCTGTAAAAACTTTGGTAACGAAATAATAAACCATAAAAGAAAAAAAAATAAATCATAATTTATGGGTGAAGGAGTAAATCATATTATTGTGATAAGAACGAATAATGAATTATCACTGTAAAAAATTAATTAGCAAAGATGATAAAGTTAGAATTAAGCGAAATTAATCACAATTAATTATGATAAGTAATTGCACATATTAATAAAATGTCATTTGCTATGTTTTTGTTCTAAGATAAAAAAAAAAAAAAATTAGCATATTTTTTCATAAAACAGTAATAATTAAACACAACAATAATTAATAAATTAGTCATAAAATACAATGGCACATTTCAATTTTAATTTTAACACAATCAAAATACAATAATTTGAGTGAAAAAATTTTCATATTTTAAAGAAACTTTAATTTCGAAGAAAGAAATTTCAATTTCAACTTTAATTATAAAAAATAAACAAAAAAAAGGCAAAAAAGAAAAAAAAAAACTTTTCCAAAAAAGGAAAAAAAAACTAAAAATATTTTGAAATTTGTTTTTTTATCTTAGTATAATTAACATATTAATGAGACAATTTAAACATAGGAGTAATTACTGTACAAGTGGTACGGTAATTGCAAAGGTAAAAGAGCATGCATAAATGGTAGCAAAGGTTGCTGAGGAAATTCTGGTCGTAAAATTGAATCGATTGTAAATGATTTCTTAATTGGTTTTGGTGTACTAATTGGACTATCATCGGAGCATTCATCCTCATTTACCATTAAACCCATATGACGTCGTACCTGAAATTTTTCACTTTTTATTTTTTAAAAAAATAAAATTTAAATGAAAATTTGATAATATATTTTGTATTATTTAGTTAATTACATGTGTTATTTATTAGCTATATTATTTGAAATAGAGTAAAAGAGGATAGAAAAGGAAAAAAAAACTTTTCCTAATAATATATTATCAGTTATATTGCTGAAAAAAATTGATAATTAGTGTCAATATTATCATTATGAATTATATAAAATATCATTATAGTTTAAAAATTAATAATATAAGTTTCATATAAAGTAAAGTGAAATTAATTCAATGATTGGATGAATATATAAATGATCGAATATTTTTAATCACGATTCTTGGATCGAATATTTTTAATCATGATTCTTGACTTAAATTGACTAAATTTGCTTTAGGTGGCATTATTATTATTATTAATTATTAATTACTATCAAACATATATAATTCATTGGCAATTGAGAAAATTCACTTTATCTGATTTCAATAACTGATAGCAAAATTTGTTCAGTTAGAATTTTTATTGTTAAATCTAAAAGGTATTTTATTAAAAAATTGAAATTGTTAATCTCAACTAATATTTAGGGCCATGAAATTCGTTTTTTATCTTTGTTAAATTTTCAGAAAGGTTTATCACAGTTAGATGATTGCCCAAATTTTCTAAATCTGATATGAAACTGATAACCAGCTGATAACATATCTTTTTCAGCTTGTGAAATTTCCATTTTTCTAACATTTCATTTTATTTCATTTAAATAAATTTTACAAATGTCTCATGCACGCTTTTTATCATATTTTATCTCAAAATAATTTTGCACAATTATTTCCCAATATTTCATAACTTTTATTTGAAAAATAATATATTACTATTAGTAATCGATAAGTGATCAATTTTTGATTGTAAGTTTCAAAAGAAACAAATAAATAAATACGAATAATTTATAAACCTTTCGTTGTGCTCGACGTCTTCGAAAGTCGCCCCTTTTGAAATCATCCAAATTTGCTGGATGGATTGCCCAATAATGTCCCTTTAAAACAGAAAAAAACAAAAACAAAAAAAAAAAAAGGAAAGAAAAGAAAAGCTAGAAAAATGAAATGAAAAAGAAAAAAAAATTCAAATGCGAAATAAAAAAGATGGAAATTTCAATTTTAAAATTATTACAAACATTAAATATAACTCAGTGAAATTCTATTATTGTTTACTTTCAATAAATCCAGATTTTTTGATACCAAAATATTGTAAACGCTACTCAAACTGAGTTAATTGATATTATTTCTTTTTTTTTTTTTTTGAAATACGTATAATTTTTCAACCGTCTTTTTTTTTCTTTTGTTGTTTTTTTTTTTTTTACCTTTCCATTTGCTGATCGTCCAGCTTTAATGAAGCAATCATTTAAGCTTAAATTATGTCTGATTGAATTTCGCCAACCAACAGAACGTGTTCGAAAATATGGATAATTGTCGGTAATCCATTGGTAAACCTCAGAAAGTACCATTTTTTGCTCCCGTGAACTTAGAATTGCCATTGCAATAAGGCCAATATACGATGGTTGAGATTTTGGCTGACGAATATCATATTGCTGTTGTTGTTGTTGTTGTTGTTGTTGTTCTTGTCGTTCTTGTTCTTGTTTACATTGCTGTTGTTGTTGTTGTTGTTGTTGTTGTTGCTGCTGCTGTTGATTTTGCTTGTGTTGTTGTTGTTGTAGATAATAATGATGTTGATGATGATGATGGTGATGATGATAAAATGATTTTTTTTCTACTTTTGGTGATAAAATTGATCTCGAATATGGTAAAAAATCACCAACGCCAAATAAATCCATCCTTTGAAATTTCGTTAAATTCATCCAAATATTCACGTCCAAAATATTTCTCGATATGACTTTCATTTAGTAATAATAAAAATTATTTAGTAACAATAATAATAATAATAAATAATTATAATAATTAATAATAATAATAATAATAATAATAATAATAATAATAATAATAATAATAATAATAATAATAATAATAATAATAATAATAATAGTAATAATAAAATGATAATAATCATCAAATCAATATATTATGCTTACTGTAATAGTTTTTTACTCAATAAATGATTCCGTAAATATAATTATTGAATAATTTACTACAGTAATCTGTTAGAAATTTGAAAATGTTATTTTTTATTTATTATAAAAAAAACTTAAAATAAAACTTAAAAATGATCAGAAACAAATGCTGGATTTAGACAAATAAAAAAGAACATAAATATTTGTTTTTGTTTTTTATTTTAAAATAAATGATCCAGAAGGATAGTAAACAACTGAATTAATTACCAGTAAGAGAGAGAAAGGACTGATGAAGAAAAATGTTGTCAATACACTTTCAGATAATATCCAAATATGTGTGCGCCTCTTGTTTACCGATCATGTTGCTGTTGTTGTTGTTTGTTTGTTTGTTGTTGTTGTTGTTGTTGACAGCGATAATGACAATGATAATGATGATGACGGTGATGATGTTGATAGCGATGATAATGATAATGAAAGAATACAAAGTTCGAAGGGCGGAGCTCAAGTTATGGGACAGGGTGAGATTTTGCCATAGAACGAATCGAATCAGACTAGATTTAAGACAATAAATCGTAATTATGATTATAAAGAGATGATTAAAGATTTAATTGATTATTTTAATAATTAATTTCAATTATATAAATAAAACAATCTTTCTGTCTTTTTTTTCTTTATTTTAACAATAACTTTTAATTTTATGATATTACAAGGTTTAAAAATAATTCGTTTACCACATTTGATTTATATTTCTAAATTTTTGCAAATCCAGTGGAAAATACAAAAGGAAAAAAAAATGAAATATTAAAACTGAAGTTAAAACTATAATTAGATATTTTTATGGAATTATGATGAATAAAAGATTAGTTGTATTATAGAATGCATTCAGGTTTGATCAAAAATCATTGAAATGTTTTTTTTTTATTAAAAAGTTAATAAATTTAGAAATAGTTAAAATTTAGCAAATACTCATTTGTTACTTTATTTTAAAAAATAAATACGTAAAATTGTCTGTGTTACATAAAATTTTTCAAAAATATTAAAAATTAAAATAAAAAATGTTTCTTCAACAAATTTCATTAATTAATTTACGAAGATCAAATTTTCATCATTCAATTAATTAAATTTCTCAAACAACAAAGTTTTTTCATCCGTTCACTTTTCTTTTTTGTTGTTTTTAATCTCAGTTTCTGATTTTTTAATCCTGATAAATTTTTGAATGACAATAATAATTAATAAAGATAACGATAGTAATAATGATAATAATAATACTAAATAATAGTAATAATAATAAAAGTGATAATAATTGAGTTAAGAGGTTAAAGGTCAGCAGGATCTCAGTTTAATGCTAAAAAAATCTAAAATCTAATCATTTTTTTATTTACAACATTAATTCAACTGTTTTTGTTAAAAATCCCACCAAATAAAAAAAAACGCATTCTAAATAACAATTAATTTAATAATTGAAGCAATATAATAATAATTACATTAATAAAACCAATAATACTAAATAAAAAGATTAATAATTAGAAAAATAATAAAAAATTTTCATTCACTTTAATTTTTACTGAAAGCAAAAAGAAAAGTTATCAAACAATAATAAATATTCCTTCCGTAATTTCATTAAGTATTAAAATTAAAAAAAAAAAAATTTTTTTTTTCTTACTACATTTTTTAATTATTTTTTGAAAAAATTTTGCTACAAAAATATAAACATTTGCAACAATTTGAAAATAAAAATCAATTAACCTTACCCATTCTTTCCCATTCTTTTTTCCTATTCTCATCTACCCGTTTGCCATCCCTCTTCTACCCATGCTTGCCCGCCTCTCTATTATGAACTTGGAACATCAATTTTTACTAAATGGAATTGAATAAACATAGAACATTGAAATTAAATTCATTCATTCCTCTCTGTATAAGATAATGCTTTTCCTCTTCTTCTTCTTCTTCTTCACAAATAAATGATTGCTTTATGAATCGTTATGCTAATTTGTCCTTCTAAACACTCTTATGCTTCTGTTTATTCCGGGCAACCATGGTAATTGGTTTGATTGAATTTTAAACATCATGTGTTTGGCTTAAAATAAGTTAAAAATTTATTGAATTTCTTCTTATAAATTTTGTTCACAATTTTATTATTTGAATATTTATTTTTTTTCCAAAAAAAAAAGAAAAAATAAACAAATAAATAAACAAAGAAAAAAAAATAAAATGAAAACATTATAAAATATTTTTTGCATCCTTTTATAATTGAATAATAACATCTTTTAATATACTGATTAACTTTTATCAATATCTGAAAAGAAAATGTATAAATGATTAATTACTGGCTGGTTAAAAATTTTACATATTAAAAACTTTTTTATATTTTGATAATAATAATTTTTTCTTATTAATTAATATTAATCTCAAGTTTTGCGGAAGAAATATATATATTGGCAATGTTTCTAAAAATTATAATTCCTTGCAAAAAAAATTTTTTTTTTCAAAATATAAATTTTAGTTATTAAAGAAAAAAGTGAAAATAAGTATAATATTATAAGTATGTTTATATAATTTATAAGATAATTTATTTCTAACATGAATTTTTCTCTAAATTTTTCTTTTTTTTAAATTTACAGGGAATGTAAATTCATTTGTAAACTTCTAATCAGATTAAAATTACAAAATTACAACTTTTTACCATTTATTTATACTATTTTACAACTTGCAATCCTTCCTTCTTTCTTTTTTCCTTTAGCTATAATAAACTATAAGTAAAAATATGCTGAAATAATCTGCTCAATTAATTAATTTATATTCGATGCAAAAATTGAAATATTGTCAGAAAGATTTTTAATTAACAACTAATTATCATTTCAATTCAAAAGTAATCAGTTGTATTTATATAACAAAATAACAATTGTCTTCTCAATCAATCATTTTATCCAGAATATCTTATCAAAAATGATTAAATTTTCTAATATCAATCATTTCTTCTTTTTTCGATATCAAAAATTTTCGCCATTTTCTTTTATTAACTTTCTTATTGCTTATTTATCACTGCATTCACACAATTTCAAAAGTAAAACAAATATTTTATAATTGAAATTAATCATTTTTTTTCCTCTTTCGCTATCCATAAATTATAATTATTTTATTAGCAATTTATTTAATTTATTTAATATATTCCAATGAAATACAAATAAACATTGTAAGGGAATCAATTTGAAAATTAAATATGAATGAATAGGTGATAATAACAAATACAATAATGAATTAGCTAGATAAATACATTAAGATTGCTCATTTTAAAAATTTCTTTTTTTTAAAAAAAAACATTAATCTAAGATTAAACAAAAAAAAATCAATCTTTTAATAAAACCTTTCTTTTTTTTTTTTTGTTTATTCATCTATTCTTATCTTTCAAGTATTATAATATATGAAAATCATTTGCATATATTGGGACAACACTTGTCATTAAGAATGACATGATAATAGCAACAATGTGACAACAATGTTTGTCGCATGTTTGCCAACACAATATTATGACAATAGTAATAGTAATAGCAATAATAATAATGATAACAATAATAATAACAATAATAATAATGATAATAATCATAACAATAGCAATAATAACAGTACTCCATTCATTATCAAACAATATAACAATGACCCAGAAACAAATGTCATATGACGCTTAACAAACAAACAAATAAAACAATATTTACTGTACAAATTAAACATATCATATTTGATGAATCAATAAACATACTAAACAAATTCAATTCAATAATTTTCAATTAGAAAGTATTAGAAATATTTCAGAAATTATAACGGTATTTTTCGAAAAAAATAAAATTGCTAACAAAAATTATTATTATTATCATTATTATTACCATTAATATAATAACAACAATAATTTGTAAATTATTTAAAGTATGTAAAAACAAATTACAGTCTCAAACGATAACTAAACATAGAAATTTAATAAAACATAAAATTTTAAATTAAATAATTAAAAATTAAGTGATAAAATATAAAAAAAATTTAAATTAAATTAATCATAATCAATATTAAATATTAAAATGGCAAAATGAAGAAGAGGGGAAGAAGAAATAAAAAAAAAACATTTCAAATCATTAATTAACAATATTAAAATATTTGAAAATATTAAAACTTAAAATATCATAATAATTTATAAATAACCTATATATAATTACAAATTATACATAATTATCTAGCAAATTAATTGAACCAATCAATTCCATTCTTCTAATTTTTAATTTACCGTTAATCACCAGCAACAATTTCATTTCTCATACTACAATTTATAAATTTGTAAGAATTGCAGCTTTAACACTCATAATTAAGAGCAATTGCTATTGCTAGAAGCATATATAATTATTATCAATCTATTATGGTTAACTTTTTGTAATAGAGAAAAATATAACTAAAAACATTTAACAAAAAAAAAAGAAAAAAATAGAGAAAAATGATTCGTAAATTAAGTGAGTGAATCGAAATGTTTTCCGTTTTTTTCCCTTTTTTAGAAAAAATTTGATTTCAATTTGAAAAATTAGAGGGAAATAGATGCTTATAATTGACTGTGATTTGAAGTTCGTTTACTTTTGCCTTTTTAAAGTTTTTTTTGCTTTTTTTTGTTCATTTTATCTAGCAATTGTTTAACTTCATTGTTTAAAAATACAATTTATCCATTATCATCTATCTATCTATCTATCTATCTATCTATCTATCTATCTATCTATCTATCTATCTATCTA